ACATAGCCCCACCCACAAATCCTCGAGTATAGACCAAAGACTATTTGGTATAGGCCGGTACAAATGCATTTTGGCAACTCTGTGGACAATAATGAAAATTAAAAGATAGTTGCTGGAGGGGATTACCAAATGCGCACAAAAATAAGCCTTTAAAAGAAAACAACAGTTGTGACGTCACGGTTTCTGAGCCAATCACGACTCGAACACTTAACCAATCACAGGGCATCCAGTAATTCAGACTCGGTGTCGCGACACCCCTGGTCGAGGTTGGTCGGTATACAGGTGAGGATTTCTGGAGAATATCCGATTATACTCTGATGAACTGCTTATGTTATTTAAGAAAAGTGTCCATCTGTGAAAGTGTACAGTATCCGCGCAAAATAAGTGTTTCCTTTATGTTAGTCATTAGCGAAATAGTAAGAAACTCCCGGGGCCAGATTCTCAAAAGAGCCTTAAGTTAAGGCGTGCTGGAGGCCTTAACCGTCCTGCGGCGACCTAAGTTAAGGCCCGGAAAGGCGCCGTATCTCGGACTTAGCTTTGTATGCACAAACGTTTTTTAAGGCGCCTTAAGTACCGCAGAGCCGCAAATCACTTAAGGCGTCGGATCTTCGGTGGCCAATCACAGCTGCCGTTTCAGGCGGCTCTTAGGGTATCTTGACCAATCACAAGCCGTAAATGCCAATCAGCTGATTTCGTAAACACAACGCTGTGTCCAGTCTGTGGCATGATAAAACTTTTCAACAAAATTGGTATTATTGAAAATGCAACCCCACACCTAAATTAAAGAATCTCAGCTTACCCAGTGGTACAACATATCATTCTAAGAATTTGCCTCTATACCATTTTCTGCGCAAATTGATAATAATGGTGTTACAGAGGGTATAAAATGCACAATTTCCAGGAGCCGCAATAAGCTTTCGCCTCCAACACCGCGACAAATGACAAAGTCGTTAAGAGTGATGGAAAATCAGACGGATTTATAGCGGATGACGTAGGCAAGGGAAATCATGTGAGCCAATAAGATTCGAGCGTGTACGTGATGTGACCATCAGTAGAACCAAACAGATATGGAATAGGTCATAACATGGCAAAAGAAATGTGTCAATATACTATGCTTGCTAGTATTCTAATAATGTTTCTCGAAATTACCCCTCAAATTAACTGTATCATGCCCTCCCCTGTTATCGGGACCGATATCGTAGTTATACTTAGTTTGCGAAGGAAATGAGCGGTAGATTCGCTCGGAGCACGACGAAAGCTATTATAAAATTATAAAATACAAATTGTAATTTAATAATTGTTCTAGGGCTGAAAAATGTCATTTATGCTTCGCCGTAACTCGCTAATGCTGCTCTCCCCTGCCTTAACTGAGGGCGCCTTGACTCGCACCAATATGGCGGGCCCCTTCCTCTGTGTATGGGCCGTAAGATCGCTGGCCATAAGTTAAGGCTCGTTAAGAAGATACGGCGCCTTAACGCGTTTGAGAATCCGGCCCCCGGCGTCCTTTGTTTGGCTGACCCTCGAGTATCGCCATGTTTCGAAATGTTTCGGCTCGAAGATTTTAAAGCAGATTTAATACTGAATGTTCTTTATAAATTACTATTCCTTTAATTATTTACTAGTATAAATCTATTAGTGCTCTTATGTATTAATTGTAATATTTTCTTTATTTTGTTTCGATAAATTATTCTAAATTAAGTTTTTTTTTTCTTTTATCTACAAAGATAGTAACACGATCTAGCAGCTTTTCGATATGGAAATGTTGACACATTTATAAATAAATCTTAATAACTCATAGTAATATCCGGACGAATGAACTTGGTTATAATAAATGGGGGCCTGACCAGTCAAAGTTGCTGATCATCATTTGTTATTGTCAAATAAATAGAAGAAAGTTATGCTTTAGATTACTAGAATAAAACAAACGCCGTGGATATTGTTCCGGCACCGGATTTTATAACATTTTGGCTATTCGTCCGGCTTACACTCGCACATGCGCACTGTCAATAATTCTGTCTGTCATTTCATGCAATATTCATCATAGGATAGAGAGTCTGCTGGGATATTTTTCCGGCGTTTTTTGTCGGAAGCCTGCACTGAAGAGCTATTTTTTCATCATCATCAAAATTTTGAATTATTCTTAGGACCGAGGGGACATACACGCTAAGTTTGCTACAGTTTGACATTTCTGTGATTTTTATTCCTATTCTGTGATTTTATCGTGCCTATAACCGCACCTTTAGAGAAGTCCCTGACTCCCGCCAACAATGCTGGGGGATCCCGTGGGGAATTGGATGTTGGGAGGGGGGGTGATTTCGTTCATACCATGCATTTTAAAAAGCAAATGAATGTGGGAAATTGAAAATCCGCCGAGGATAGCATTTCAGATGATAAAGAAAGTGAAACATGTAAGAACCCGAGAGAAGATTTGGCAACGGATGATTCGATACGGTTTTGCGCGAACGAATGAGGGAGTGAACCGCATCTTAAACGCACGAATTACCAGTAGGATCACCGTATGAACCAAAAATCCCTCCTAACCCGGGGGGCTACACCCCGGCCCCCCTCCCGATTGCCGTATTTCCCGATGCAGGCAAACACTAAGTAGGAGTACTTCAACTCTGGCTTTACTTTCTTATCCAGTGTACACTTCAAAGCTGCAGCAACAGTCCTTGAATCTTAGACATAAAACTGTGCGAAAGTGCTCTCTTGAAATTTGGTCAAGCTGTCCTTCACATCAGCAAAACTGGTAAATTCAGTTCCAACTTTGAAGGAATCCATAATCGATGATCGACCCTTGGCCATGAACAATGAACAACATAAAAACAGCGCCAAAGTTTGTATGCAAGGCTAATGTGCGAGTGTGTGTTTGC